TTACATATCATCTTTTCTACGGATAACAAGTTAGAACATATCAGTCGGTTTTGCCGACTTATGTATACCCTCAGCCAATGTTTGATTATATAAATATATTTTGACTTCTGTTATAATTATTCAAAGTGTTGACCCTCTCTGGAGTAGGTTAAACGGAATGGGCCAATATTGTCTGTTTCGTATCAGACCTAAATAAATATGATATAAATATTGCGACGCATCAGGTTTGGGCTAGATCGACCATTTCCTTAATTTTATACGGGATACGCGATAATTTTTAGAAAATGTTAAACGTGCGTGATGTAGAGAATATAGTTGACCGAAGTATTCCATTTTCATGATTCATCTAATACAAATATTGCTATGGGCAAAACTACAAGAAAATGGAACAATTTATGGGAAATCACAAATTCCATATTCATCTCAGGTTTCTGGTTGAGAGAAATATTTATACATAGCAAGTTGTAAAGAATCGCCGACTTGTTTCGCAAGTTATGACAGAAAAAAGTATTGACAATTGTGTCCCTTTGTGGGTGAGGTACCAGAGGGGTTCACATATATTAGCCAACGCATTCTTTAAGCGTTTTGTAGGTAGCAAGAGAATCTTACGTTTTATAAGCTTAGTATTCAAAAATTCGACCTTTTGTGGGGGAGGTACCAGAAGGAGTAGACCGATATATTCCTCAACACCAGATCTTGAGTTTATAAAAATATTGGGATGTGTGAAATTTTAAGATAATCTGACTCTTACATCACATTTCATAAGAGTTATAATTATTAAAAATCCTTTGTGGGGAAGGCACTTGATGGAGTCGACCGATATTATCCATTTTTGCACCTGACCTAGAACTGACGCAAATATTAGTTAGAGCAAAGTCGGATTATACTTTCTCTTTCTGTGCAATTTCTTTGAAAATTTTGATATTTTTTGTTTGCAAAGTTGGAACAAAATCGAATTATTGCTTCTCCTTCTGTGCAGAAAATGTATCTTTTTTTTTTGAAAATTTCGACCTTTAGTGGGGGTTGTACCAGAAATAGTAGACCGATATATTCCATCTTAACACCAGATCTTGTGTTAATAAAATTATTGGGATGTGTGAAATTTGAAGATAATCGGACTCTTACATCACATTTTATGATAGTTGTAATTATTCAAAAAAAATTTTGACCCTTTAGGGGGGAGGTACCTGATGGACTGTATCGATATTGTCCGTTTTCGCACCTGACCTAGCACTGATGAAAATATTAGTATTCACAAAGTTAGAGCAAAATCGGATGATACTTTCTCTTTCTGTCCAATAAATTATTTTCTTTAAAAATTTTGATATTTTTTGTGGGAGGTACCAGAGGGAGGGTAAATCGGATACTGTCTTCGAGAGTTATCGTGCGCATCAGCCAGTCAGAAGGACATCGCTGGATAGACTCCGAATGTCCTGAAACGGATTTGGTCCAAAGAGACCTAGGGTCTAAAACCGTTATTTCGATGAGGCACGATTTGGCCATGTTAACTGATAAATACCATCTGTAGCTATATGGTTGAGGGTATAATGATATAAATATTGCGACGTGCCAAGTTTGGACTATATTGGTAACTTTCTTCACGTTACATGACATATATGATACAGATATAGTCGACCAAAGTAATCAATTTTCATGCTTCATCTAATAGGTATAAAAACATTGGTATGGACAAAATTACAAGAAAATCGAACATATATCTAATTTATGGAAAATCATACATAATCGTCTCAGGTTTCTGGTAAAGAGAGATATATTTATATATATATTTATGGAAATATTGAGATATACCAAGTCTTGAATGGTATCGGATGTTAAACCGCTTTTTATGAGCTTCATGGATATTTAAAATTTTCAGCCATTGTGAGGGAGGTACCAGAAGTAGTGGACCGATAGATTGCATCTTCACAACAGATCTGTTGTTTGTGAAAACAAATGGGATGTGTGACATATAAAGAGAATGCTTACTTCGGATTTTATAAAAATTTTGGTTATTGAAAACTTGGACCCTTTGTGGGGAAGGTACCAGAAGAAATGGTCCAATCTCTACCGTTTTCATAACAGATCCAGTGTTGATATCTATCTTAACACCAGATCTTGGGGTTATAAAAATATTGGGATATGTGAAATTTTAAGACAATCAGATTCTTACATTACCGATTTTAAGAGTTATAATTATTCAAAAATTTTACCCTCTGTGCGGGAGGCACTTGTTGTAGTGGACCGATATTATCCATTTTTGCACCTGACGCAGATATTTGGACTTTTCAAGTTGGAAGAAAATCGGATTATTGCTTTTCTTTCTGTGCAGAAAATGTCGATAGTTCCCATCTCCGAACTCGACCTTGGGTTAATAAAATTGTTGGGATGTGTGAAATTTGAACAAAATCGATATCTTACATCACGTTTTATAAGACTTATAATTATTCAAAATTTTGACCCTCCCCCATGTACTTGATGGAGTGGACCGATATTGTCCATTTTTGCACCTGATCTAGCACTGTTGAAAAAATTAGGATTCGCAAAGTTGGAGCAAAATCGGATTATCCTTTCTCTTTCTGTGCAATAAATTATTTTCTTTGAAAATTTTGACATTTTGTGTGGGAGGTACCATAAAGAGTGAACCGATATTGCCCATCTCCGAACTCGACCTTGGGTTAATAAAATTGGTGGGATGTGCGAAATTTGAAGCCAATCGGACTCCTGCATCATATTTCATAAGAGTTATAATGATTCAAAATGTTGATCCTTAGTGGGGGAAGTACTTGATGGAGTGGACCGATATTGTCCATTTTCGCACCTGACCTAGCACTTATGAAAATATTATGATTCGCAAAGTTGGAGCAAAATCGGAATAGCCTTTCTCTTTCTGTGCAAAAAATTATTTTCTTTGAAAATGTTGACATTTTGTGTGGGAGGTACAAGAAGGAGTGGACCGATATTGCCCATCTCCGGACTCGATCTAAGTTTGATAGTAATATTACGATATACCAACTTTGGTTTAAATCGGATACTGCCTTCGAGAGTTATCGTGCGCACCAGCCAGCTAGATCGACTCCAAATGTCCTGAAACGAATTTCATCAAAAGAGACCTAGGGTCTAAAACCGTTATTTCGACTAGGCACGTTTTGGCCGTATCAAATGATATATACCATCTATAGCCATAGCGATACAAGTCAATTAATTATTCTAGCAACAGTGGCGTATAATTGAACATTACATTCTGTCACAGGTTTAAAACCAATTCATATTATACATTCGTCGTCTTGATCTTAGTAAGAAGTAAGAGACAAAATTACACATACTCAAGAAACCCAATTAAACAGGTTTATCTTAAAAAGGCCGAACAGAGTTTTTGAAGTTGGCGGGAAAGTATATCTGAAAAACAACCAAAGATTAGACAACAAATTGTCCCACTTATATTCTGAGGAAATTATACAGGCGAGGGTTGTCCACAAGGACAATTACCACATTAAAATGACATCATAGATTAGCCAGAACAGCATTGAAAGTTGTGGCAGTAACTCCGGACGCAGCAGACATTGAAAGACTTAATATGTCGGAGTCACAAATTATAGAATCAAATAATAGGCTAGTCTTAATTAATACAGAAACTCAAAAACAAATATATCGTCTTACAGACGCGGTTAACAAAATCATAAAATAAACTAAGAAGAACACGCCGGACACGTCTCATTTATACGATGTACTCTTGGCTAGAAATAGAATGGTTATAACAGAAATTCAGAATTTAATGTTAACTGTCACATTGGTTAAAACTAATATTATAAAATTTTTGATAATATTGATTTGAAGTCTAATTTTGTTGAAAAGCTCAAAGAAGTATTTATTGCCAACCTAATGCAAATTTCTAATGTAAAGATTTTACAGTCAAATAGTATGATTTATGTACTCATAGAATACCCAGCTGTCAGGAGTTAATAACATTTTCTGTAAGCTACAACAACACTATATTGCAGTTGGAAGATAACACCGTTGCTGAATGAGACGATAGGGTCATAGCTGTCAACAATTGTGCAAAGACCAACCAAGCAACATTCTGCAGAGTTATGAAGCAAGATACTTGTGCGCGTGCAATTCATTCTGGAGGTTCTGCCGAATGTCAAACCCAACCTAGTCATTTGAATCAAAGAACAATCCGCGCGACTTAAAACAGCCCTGAAATAAGCATAAGGTGTACTTATCTCATCACCTTTGAAAATACAGCTGCCATAAATGACACCAATTATGTCAACCACACGGGAATGATAATGAAAACACCAGAAATAGCATCTTCACTTTTACTGGATATCATGTATTGCAAAAATATGCTTACGATACAATTGCGATACAAAACATAAATGGAATGTTGGGGTTATTCCCAAAATTGAAACTAAAATAAAAGTACAATAACATTTTATCCCAAAGTTGTACAATTTGTTGCCCATTTAAGTCCAAAATATACATTTATTTTGCAAAATTATTGTATTTTTTAATTCAATATAATGCACACACATGCACAAAATGTATATATGTTTTTACACAATAAGGGCACCAAACGAAAAAAAATTGTACTTGGGAGATAGCTTTTTCTACCTTCTGTAATTTTGCCTTGGGTAATTTTATCGTTTAGCCAAACTGAAGTGAATGGTATAAAGGAACAAAATTGGGAATATGTTCCCAAATTTTTGCAAAATTGACGATCCGGACATAGGATAGAGCACATCTTCCATTTAATGATGATTACGCGCTATAACGGATTAATCTACACAATCATGCGGAATTTCCAACACCCAAAATGACGAGCGAATATAATAAACTCTCAGTTAACGTTTTACGTCAACTTATGAAAACACGTTTCACAATTGGGTATTATATACATTTCCATGACAGATAATAAGGTAACCACATTCAAAATCTACATTTTTGGAATTAGAATTATTAAATTAAAAACTCAGAACAAATATCCCTAAATTGTATACCTTGATGTAATCGTCGCTCCGGGAGGGAATTCCACAACGTCTTCCCGAATTTCCAGGTCGTTATAGAAACTAACAACATTCGGCTCATTATTTTTGAATAAACAGGTTCCGTTAGCTTTAAAATAAAAACGTAAAATGTACAAAAAGTTTTTGCATACTGTGGAATGTTTTCACTACTTACCGCAATTATATGACCGACCTATCCATTCTCCATTTTCGCAAATGATTTTCCAAGTGTTTCTTTCTCCAGAGGCACTCGGAATGCAGTTAAAATAAATCTCAGTGCCACTTTCATACACCCCTTCGATGTCTATGTCACCATTTCTGGAGGATAATATGTTTATTTACGTTGAATCATAAGTATGATCGAATTGAACTTACTTGTATATTAAGGCACCGTCCGTGAGTGTTGGGGGACCACACATCTTCGTTTCTTCAGTGACGTTTTGGTCATCTGTGGAATTTAAACTTTCTTCCATTTCGGAGGTGTCTAGAATATTGGTGTTACTGATTTTTTCGACAGAGTCATTGGGTTTTTCTACTATTTTAACAATTTCTTGCCTCGATTTTCTCATTCCGGACTCACACTGTATATTCTGAGGTTTGATTGTGCCTTTATTGCAAGTCATTTCGATGGGTAGAGTATTCGTTGAGTAATTACAGCGAGCATTAACCGAACTGTCTTGTCCGATAGTTAAACCAGCCCGATAACCCCCCTAGAGGACAATGCTGTGTAATTGATTTTTTGACATTTGAAGACTGATTATCCATTGCAAATTTACCTCATATATCAGCCCAGGTATACTGGGCAATGTACATGCTACTGACACACACTTAGAGAAAGCATTAACTGACCAACTTCCATGACCGCATCTTAATTGCCCGGCTCCCTATTGAAATTATATTAAATTATAAATTGTACAAATGTATAAATAATCAATAGAATCAACCTGAATTTTATATCCCTCCTCGCACTCCAGTGTAATGAACTCATTGGACTGTATCTCTTCATATGTCGATAGAGGTGTTAAAGATGGCTTGTCCGATAGCTCTATTGTATGCGGTTCTACTTTGTAATATTTTCCATTCTCCACTGATGGAACCAAACACGGTGCTGAAAATTCAGAACGTTTATTTCACAAATTGCAATTTATTTGGAACCAGATGACCATGCAGAGAATGAAGGGACAAATATTGCGTTATGAAATAGTCATAGTGTTGACATCACGGATATTAATAAACAATCAGGCAAATGCTATAATTTATTGGAAACCCGCCTTAGGACGAAACTCAATTCGGTCGATTTCGTTTTTTTAATGACGCCAAGCAGTCCTACAAATATGTTATCTTTGGTTTTTGGCCGGTTGAATTGCCACTATATTTATGTACTTTGTCGTGCTGATAGGTATTCAAATATTTTACACATAACTTGTGGTCCATTTTACTCGCTAGATATTTCTATTGCTTTACGCGATTTTGAAACTTATTCCTTTCAGCCAATAGTCCATTCTGAATTTGTGAGAATTGTCAAAATAAGACCGGCCATTCTTGAGTTATATGAGTAGAAGCTAATGTAATGTTCTTTTTTCAAAATTCACATAACCTGCTGCTTATTATCCCCCTACAAGGAGTATAGCTGATTGCTAACGGGGCTTCCGTAGGATGCGGATTGTGGAACGCCCTATGGATTAACAAATAAGAAGTCGCGGACAGTCAACTGGACTGACGTTAGGGTCTCAATGTAAATGATATCCCGAGTGACGAGGCGAATGACTGGCACTGATGAATTTGCTTTACTCCGCAACCAAAACGGATCGGGGTGTTTTCCATAAACCAACAACCAATGTTAAAGTTGGGTGAGGGTAAAAACCAAAATAATGGTTTAATGATAATTCTTCGAAGAATATTAATGTCTCATCTGGTGTACCGCAGGGAAGTCACTTGGGTCCATTGCTATTTGTTATTTTTCTGAACGGCCTTCCGAACTTTTTTCTATAATTCTGATGTATGCTGATGATGTGAAACTCAATCTTCACATAAATTCACTTAAGATGTCATTCCATTAAAAAAACGAACTACTGATGTTTTGTGTGTAATCTTAGCTACGGTATCATGTACACATTGATTCTTGCGTTAATAAAGCTACATAAATCTTTACTAGGCTTCATCAAGTGATAGTCCAAAGAGTTTAATGTTCCTTACGTAACCAAAATTTTGTTTGTTAGTCTGGTTCGTCCAATATTAGAATATGGTTGCATAATGTGGTTGTCCATTTTATAAGTATTATTCGGATAAAATTGAATCAGTATAAATTCAATTTTTAAGTTTCGCTTTGCGTGGCTTATATTGAAACCCTTCTGAACTTCTTCCGCCTCACGAAAGCCGTTTTATGTTAATCGATCTTCTATCACTTGAAAAAAGACGATTTATGTTAAGAGTGTTATTTATCATTAAATTAATAATTCTGGCCTGATTGATTCCTCTTTTCTCACTGGTTTTATAAACTAGAATGTTCCTTTTCGTAGAACTCATAATATCGAATCGTTGAAGCTGTTCAAGCTGTGAAGTAATTATGAAGTCAATAACCCAATGGGATCATGGGACTGCTTGTACCAAAGCTCATGGAGATACGGCTATATCTATGTCATGTGTTCTTGTTTACGAAGACTCAGTAGCAGATCAGAATAGTAACTCTTCACGCTGCCAAGTTGGTAGACCGGAGGAGCTGGTTAAAAGATCATCGTCTTCGAGAGCCCACTCTCATACACAGGCGACGTCTGCTATGATGGAGGAGATATAGCCCTTTTACAAGAAGTTACTGGTCTCTCACCCCATCACTTATTTTTCTCCTACGCTGCAACACGTTGAAAAAGTGATAGGAAAATTCCAGTTTTGCGCAAGCCACGGCTACTACCCCGATCCAAAGAGAGAGAAACCTTACGAGAGCTCGGTTCTGTGACCCCCCCAAGAGCTGAAAATTAAGACATTTGATTACATTTGAATGTAATTTGTTACTTTTTGGAGGAAATCTAGGGAGGCCATTGTTTCCGACACGGGAAAACAGGGAGACATGCAGTTTTTGTCATTAACGGCTAAACAGAAAATCTTAAAACTTCCTTGTACAAGCAGTTAATGACTCCGGCGAACTTATTTCCGAAAATTCTGGTTAGAAAAGATCTGTCGGCCTAGGTTCCACTTCCAGAAGTGGGGTTGGACCATCATAAGTTTAATCACATGGGGAGAATGGTCGCCGTAGACAAGGACGGAGAAGAGTACTTGCCCCCACGAGATTGAATAAACTCAAGTCCAGACACTTTAGACCATCGGAGCATCAGGGCAACTTAATCTCACTCAGAAAGGAGTTAGATATTCATCTCTTAGATACATTAATAAATAAACCAGCATAGCTTCCATTCGGAAATCAGTAACAAAGGGAATACTGCAAGGAGTAGTTTTATCGCCGCTGCTAATAATATTCTACGGAATTTCAGAAAACAAGAACGAAAGTTCTTTCTTATGTTTATATCGTTTGCTTGTTAATTACGGTGCAGTTCCTGTCTCCTGTATAGGAGTTTATGTATCGCGTACTTTATAAGTTCTAGTAATAGGTGAGCAGTAACATCATCGCGAGAGCAAATAGTGAATTAGTACTGTTCATACGTAAGCACAAGTTTGATCAATTAATTCCACCGATGTTGGACGGTAAGGCCACTCCGTCCAACATCGGTGGACCCAATACCCAGATATTGGGTATTGAGATGAATTTAAAGACATTATTTACCGGAACTATTTAAAATTTTGTATTTGAAGTCCGTAATGGAGACTACAGCCTATGACAGAAAATTATCTGTGCGGTTCTACGTCTTCGTATAGCCACCATATAACGGAACCTCCGATATTCGGTATTTTTATGATTTTAGCGACATTATTCACCGGAATAGTTTCAAATTTGGTATTTAAAGTTCGTAATGGATACTACAGCCTAAGACAGAAAATTGTCTGTGCAGGTCCACGTCTTCGTATAACCCCATATAACGGTACCTCCCGATGTTCGGCATTTTGATTTTAAGGACATTATAACCGATTTTTCACACATGAATATTGTAATGGCTTATGACAAATGTTACCTACGCAGGTTCATGTCGTCATATAGACCCTAATTTAATAGCTACATTCGGTATTATTTACTGGAATAATTTCACATTTTGTACTGAAGTTCGTAGTGGATACTAAGCCTATACCCAGAAAATTGTTTGTGCAGGTCCATGTTTTATAACCCCCATGACACCTCCCTATATTCGGTATTTTGATGATTTTAGCTACATTATAAACGTTTCGCATTGGAATATTGTAATATCTTGTGACAAAAGTTGCCTATACAGGTTCACATCGTCTTATAGACCCTAATATACGGCTACATTCGGCATTTTTAAGATTTTAACAGAATTTTTAACGATTTCATTTTTATTTTTGAAAATTGCCAAATTTTTACCAAATGTTGGAGCGTATTCAAAGTTCGGCGAAGTTACAGCTTTTTTACTTGTTTTTATATTAATTTAATTTTAATAAAACACACAATAAAAAATCATGCGGCTGGTCAGTGTCCGAACTTTATATACGAAATTTGGAATAATTCCTGTAAGTAATGTCGCAAGAGTCGTTAAAATACCGAATGTTTGGGGATATAGTTTTATGGTCGCTATACTAAAACGTGGACATATTTAGACAATTCTTTTCTAAGGGGTAAAGTACTCAGAAGAAACCCATTGTGTGGATTTTAACACAATTTCATTGAAATACTTGGCTCAAATCATAAAAATATCGAGGGGTACCGTTATATGGGGGCCATACGATATCGTGGACCTATATAGACAATTCTCTTCTAGAGGATAAAGTATTCACAATGAACTCTTTGTGTGAATTTTCAGACAATTTCGTTGAAAATTGTGCCTAAAATCATAAAAATACCGAATATCGGAATGTGCCTTTATATGGGGGATATACGATATTGTGAACCTTTATAAACAATTCCCTTCCAGGGAGTAAAGTAGTCACGAAGAACTCATTGTGTAGAATTTCAGGCAATTTAATTGAAAAATGAGGCTTAAATCATCAAAATACCGAATATCGGGGGGTACTGTTATATATATATATATATATATATATATATATATATATATATATATATATATATATATATATATATATATATATATATACATATAACAGTATATATAACAGTATATATATATATATATATATAACAGTATATATATATGTTATATCGTGGAACCATCTGCGACTTGACTTAACGGACAGAAATTTACGCTGATCAAGAATATATATATATATATATATATATATATATATATATATATATATATATATATATATATATATATATATATACATATATATACATATATATATATATATATATACATATATATATATATATATATACATATATATATATATATGTATATATATATATATATATATATATATATATATATATATATATATATATATATATATATATATACATATATATATATATATATATATATATATACATATATATATATATATACATATATATATATATAGGGGACTAAAATAATGATGCTGAGTTACAAACGGAATGAAGAATTTATATACCCTCCATACTATGTGTGGTGGAGGGTATAAAAAAGACATTACAACATTTTTCTCAAATAAAGTGCCTCTCACATTAAAATATTCTTTCAGATGATCCGCTACTTGGCAATACCAGGCCCATTTTGTACAGCTTAGCTTAAAAAGCAGTGAATAATTTAATTCATTGAACAGCTGTTTTGCATGGATTGTAGCCAGTATTACATAGGCTGGTTATTAGATCTTTTCGATAGATAAAAAAATGATCTTCTCCGACACATAAATCGTTTTTCATTATTACAAATTTCATTCAAGTATGACTTAAGAATAAGCAAAATATCAGATCATCTTACCTTTATCTTTTAATGTAAAGTTTATTGAATTCATGTTGCCATATTTTATATTTATAATATGGCAATAACAGCATTTATTTAAATAAAAAAAGATAACGCTGATAGTTTATCTTATCTGAAGAAC